TTACAATGTTTTCGCACTTAATATTCAATTTAGAGGCAAACAATCACAATAATAGTATGCACCAGATGGAATAAATGCAAATTACTGTAACAAACTTCCTTATTAATATTAGTACTTGTTTTTTGCGATGAAAGAGAATTAATACATATATTTGCTATCTATGTTTATTATGAATGTGAGGGAAATTTTTAAAAAATTCTTACTGTAAAATGAGTAGTATTTGAGGGAAAATAATCTACTGTGGTTATTATGACAGCCAAAATTAATTTTATTGCTATTTTAATTAATTTCCTCAAATAACACTTATCAGTATTCAAACGTTGCATGGAGAGTAATCAGTACTGAATTTTCAAAACAATGAAAATATTCACAAAAATTTGCCTTCTTATAATGTGCATCAGTAGATTTTAAAATCTATTAATTATATGCTCACAAGTGAACAAGCAAAATTATACAGTGAAATGATATTTGACTTCAAAAAAACTTGGCAGATAGCAATCTCAGACAGTACTGTTCAATGTATATTTAAAATTAACTTTTTTAATGCCAAATTAATTTTCTTTGCTTAAGTTTTCCAAAATTAATTTTACATGTGAGCTGCTTGAAATGAATATTCAAGAGGATGTAAAATAATTTTATAGCATTTTTTAAAATAATTTTGTATACGATTTTTATGCCATACAAATTTTGTAAATTTAAGCAAATAAAATCAACTGATCAGCTCAGCTTAACTTAAGTTTAGAAGTGCATTCATTAGCATCTCATAGAAATTGGAGAGATAGTAATTTGTTTTTAACAATTAAATATCTCATTAAAAATTTATATCACATATTGCCGAGAAAAATGTCAACTTGTTAATTTCAGGACTTTTTCAAAATTATTGAAATCTTTTTATATCATATATATGTGCTATACATACAATCGTAATTATTTTAAATTTTGCACTAACAATTTCCACAAATTTAATTAAATTTATCCTAAGTGCAGTGACTAATTCTTCACAATCTCTAAACATAATTTTGTTTTTCATGCAATCAGAAACCATTGTGACTCAGTTACTTTCAACGCCATAAACAACATTCGGCGTCAACTGAAAAACTTTGCTAATTTTAGAGGGCAAAATTTTTGACTATTCGAGGATTACTGTAAGAAATATTGAGTAGTTCTGAATGTTTTTTAAGCAATTTTCCAAGTAAAATAAGCGTTGAGTGGAAAAGGGCAAATATAAATTGATTGTGTGGTTTTGGGCAATTCTCGTCTTGCTAACTCAAACTAAGCAAAAAAAAGAGCTCAAATGTTAACGTAGCCAACAACGCTTACTCAAGTGGCTGCGTGAGCGTAAGACAGGCTTCCTCGAGTTATTCAATTACAGGGCAGATGTTCATGAAGTGCTGCTTCTTTTCAATTGCTATAAAAAACGAGAGGGAGACAGTCATTTTCACAACAAAATACTCCAAGAGTTGAGGCACTTGAAGCTAAATTAGTTAGATTGAATGAGAATTGAGCCTTCTGCTACTGCTATTACTATTATTGTTGTGTTCATCTCCATCATATTCAAATTAAATCAAATCAAATCAAATCAAATACACTCTGCTAACGATGACGTAAAATGTCTTGGCTACTTGACAAGAACCGAAGATTTCGGGAGCATTCTAAAGCACAGATATAGATATAATCTATTCATGTCGAATCTACTACTAATCCATTATTAACTGTCTACTTCTCTTTATTTAAAATTACCAGCAAAACTTGAATTCGAAAATCTAATAACGTACGAATTAAAAAATATTGAATAAAAAGTTGGTAATTTTTTTAAGATATCTTTTTAATTTCGAAAAAAATAAAAAATAATTCTTGTCTACTTATCGCTTTAAGCAGTATATGTACTATTTAAACAGTGGGATCAATCAACTACACAACTCCAGTAACATAATAATTTAGACAAAGTTTACAATTATATGCATTAGAATTGTACTTCATTACAAATCTAAATCAAATTTATGAATTAAAATATTGTTTTGACTTTTTTAGATTTATTCTATTCTTGAATCAAACTTCCAAATTAATAAGCTACAACATTTTGCTATTTACACCAAAAAATATGTACTACAATAATTAGAATAAATAATCCATTTTAAAGTTTGATCCATATCTATGCGATATTTATCAACAAGACTATTTGCAGCAAAATTCATTCTCTGAGATTTAACGAGCTGATAAACCCACAAATGCTATTTCTGATTTATCATTTTTTCGGTATATCCATTACTGAAATTATTGCTATCAACAGCTTCTGAAAAACGAAGAAGTGAATAAGCTTTTTTCCAGCGCTCATTGAAAAAGTCTACAAGTTTCTTTCTTGAATTTTCAATTTTCGCAAAATTTACAGCAGTAAATATAAGACTGACATCGGTCGCAATAACTCTTTAAGTTCGTATTTTTTTCTGAAAGCACATGGCTCTGACCCACGCAGATTTACTTCTTGAAAGCATTTTTATTTACTCGCCAAGTAAAATATACAGATATTATTTTAAAATGTCTCAATAATGAAAATTTTGCCGCCCAAAAAGTTAAGAGAGCTGAAATTTTATATGAAAACAATAAAAATGCAATATAACACTATGAATCTGAAATTTAATAAATGGTGATATTTTGCAAAACAAAATAAGTGATAATTGTTGCTAAACATATTAGCTAAAAAAACCAATGTAAAATATAATTTTCAAAATATAATAATGAGAGGCTCGAAAAACAAAATATAATGCTCACAGTGTATGTACATTTTCCCAATGTATATATCTATATAATAAAAGTCTAAAAGAACCTGAAATGACAAAGGTAAGAATTAATATTTTCAGTAAAGTGTAATAGTAATATGATAAAAATGAGCAGAAACATGTCAACATCAGACTACAGGCGTACAATATATATAGGTTGTTGAAGGAGGGGGTGAGGATGTACTTGAAGCTTAAAGTTGAACCTGAATTGCCATCTCGAGACTTTTCATTAATGACACTCGCAAACAGCATTTTCACTTCTTTTCCCTCGACAATAGCAAAAAAATGAATTCAGACTAAACAAAAACGGCAGTATGAACTGTTTTGTATTTGAAGATTTCTATTTCAGAAAATATTGACCCCAAACCAACCACTTACAGTTAATATTGAGCTTAATCCATCTATTGATCAAGTTGAAGCCAACAAAATACAAAACCAACCTTATTGATTGCAAATGAAATGAGCATTAAAGCTTTCTTTGCGTGCTACCACAAATATCCACTACGAAGGTACTTTAAGAGAGCAGGAAGTCATCATGTCTTCAGAACATCGTTTATGATGATCTTAATACTGATGATGTGTGGTTGATATTTTGATTAATTAGACTTTTTTTTATTTCACTTGTTGAGAAATATAATTGGGAAGAATCTCATCTTATATTACTAAATCCCGCATGAAACCAATGTATCCTTCCAATCATCAATGTATTCCGAAAATTTTACGATGGAAATTCCGTTTTATAACACAAATGAAGCACTGCTATTTACTATAGCATTTCTGAACAATAGTCATCTTAAGTAAGATTCTTCCCTGGCATCAATGCCAGCAAAACCAATGAAAGATTCTTCTCCTTGCTTTTGATTTCTTTCTTTAATCTAATGAAAAAGTTGACTATACTCTCCAAATCATGTGTGACAACTATTATTATAGTTATGTTAACCTCAGAAGGATGACTGTTGGAATCAAAAGTACCTTTTAAGCCGAAAACCCAACATTTCATTCACACTAGCCATATCGTAGCTCTTACAGGATCTCTTGTCTTCTACTTGAACAAACGTAAACATACAGGTCGAGTAACCAAAAATCTTGACTATGAGTCTATCTTGCCTCAAGATTGACAAAACAGATTTTATGCAATGAAAAATACAGAAAAAGAAAAAAATCAACTTCACAGGTATGGTAAGCAAAAGATAGCAAAGCATATCATATTACCCAATGTGATGTGACACCTCACGTTTCTTGAGAGACTTAAGAAAACTTTCTATGTCAACAAATATGATAAATATTTCTCTGGACAAGTGCCACCACTCTTGATGAGTAATATCGCACCCATTTAGGGAGATTTCAGACGTATAAAAACAAACAAATCTGGTAAAAACTGCAATAACTCCGAAAATATGATATGTTTTGCAAGTATTTCAACATCTGTTTTCATGCTGCACTTGTGTGGAAAAATTTTTTAATAATAATAATGATGTGACTTTGAATAAATTTAAGAAAATATGGAGAGACAATTTCAGAATCATCTCGATACTGTTAATATTTTATAAGCTATGAAAATTCAATTAAAAATACGCAATAAACTCAAAATGCGGGGAGATACAAAATGTAGAAGGGATGTGTGGTTGTGGTAAGAAAACTGTGAATATAAAGAGAAAATAGATGAAAATACCAACATTTTTCGGAAATATCGACTGCACGGAAGATAAAGACAATATCCTTCAAAATCAATCCGAATTAGAATTGGATAAAATATCGTGAAATAAATTCACGCAAGACACATCTAATTAAAAAGATTCTCTAAAAAATTTTGGTCTATGGCATTATTTGATCTGCAAAACGGATGATATAAAGAACTTGCATAACAAACACTTAATCAGTTATTACTAACTACAGCATTTTAAAAACTGCCGATGAGAGCTCAAAAAAAACTAATTTACTATTTTTGACGTAGATTAAACTTTTTCTATTAATGCAGTACTTAAAAATTACTCAAAAAAATGATATCACCAAGATCAGTTGATACTTAAACTTTTTTGAATGCTGCTGTATTTTTTACTTAGCTTTTACTAAAGATGGTTAAAGTAAGATAGATGATCATACTAATCAGACAATGAATATAAAATTCACTGCCATGACTTTTTTTATTTAAGACCAGTTTTTAGGAAGACAATTTTTATAATCACATAAAAAGTAAATGCAATTAGAATTAAGAAAGAATCTTACTAGCAAGTTCTTTCTTCAGGCTTTAAAGAAATCGATTTTGGTACTTTACGATTTGGAATTGGTAATGAACGCTGAAAAACTGTTAAGTAGTGGTAGAAAATAAAGTAATATTTAGAAATGTACTAAATATCTTGGTTGTCCTAAATAAAACTGAATTGATGAAGAAAATTTCATGGCATCAAATTTAATCAAATATTTTATGGCAAGAACAAATATTAAGAAACAATGAATTAAAAGCATTTACATTTATTTTCCTTACTGAGATGATCTTTTGACGAGAATAAACCTTTCGTCTACTAGACCATTCAAAACTGCAGACACCTTTATCGGCGAGTAGTTGACCAACCTCGTACATGGGAATCACTTAAAAAGTTCTTGAGTTTTTAAGGAACCTTCATTATTACACAAATTACACAGTAAAATTCCACATCATTTTCACTAAGTCTTACCATCAAGAGGTAGTACTCTGACAAGGTGAGAAGCACCATCAAAGCTTACAACCAGAACTTGTAAATAGGTAAAAGTTTCCAAAAGTTGGGTTGCTATTCGTGTGTACATTGGTGTTGGTTGGGAAATACCAAAAAGCATACATGGAATTGCCTGAAATGGTTCAAAAAGTTTTTGAAGGTCAAAAATGGAATTTTAATCCAAACTCTTCTTATGCAACGCAGCTGAAAAAAGCATTTTTTTTTTTGTAGTTTTAAACTACTGAAAAATGCTATGATTTCACAATATTCGTAATCTTAGAGAATTATGGAAATATACCATTTTAAAACTATGCAAATTCCAAAAAAAGAAACAAAAATTACGGAATCTTAGGTTTGTTGCAACAGTAATTACAGGAATAAACAACTTGCATAATGCATGATTATAAAGTAAGGATTAAATCTACATTGAGTTGAAATTTAAAAATTTGAAAACATACTCTGGCTGGTATAGATGCCAAAAATTTATTGATCACTCTAAGTTTATTAACCTGTACCACCATCGTTTCTCCGCTATCCAATGCATATATACGCACTTTATAGCCGGGCAATACTTCTAACACTCGACATCGAAGAGGAATTCCATCTTTTATTCTCGGTGGTGCAATTAACAATTCATTCTTCTGAATATAGGCAAATTTTACGGCTATGATCAAATAAAAAAAATTATGACCAATAAAATGTGAAAAAAAAACCCTACCACTAGTTTTCAAAAATGTTTTTGATTTTTTTCGCGTGCTAGATCTATTATTTAGCACCTATTCAAAGACCTTCAGAAAAGTAAAAAAATCTTTTTGTGGATAAAATGAAACATTTTTATCAATTCTTAACAATGCTTACCAACGCATAGCTCACTTCATTTGAGTTATGAAAACAGGCTGTCAAGTAACCATCAAATTCATTGCTGCTGACAACTGAATCATGTGTTTCATAAACATTAACATCAGCAAGAACATAAAATTTCAGTGGCCACTGTGAATTTGAAATTGGCTTAATAATTTTGACCTGTAAATCAATATGTTAATATTTTACAATTCAGCAATGTCATTTACCATCAAAACTATTCTACTTAGAGCTTTTGTACTGAATTTCGATCGTGAGTTTCAAACTATTTTTATATGAGTTCTAAATGACAAATTTCCGAAGTTTATTATTTGAAAGTAGTAGAAAAATAAGAATTTGAAGTCAACCTTAGTTGATTTACCACAAGTTAAATAATTGTGGCGATGAATACGGTCATCATAAAAGATTGATTCACGAGAATCATTCAGATCCATCAGGTTCAATCCAAGACTATAATTTAAAATGCGCAAGAAATATATGTACAGTAACTCACGTTAATTTTTTGTTTTCCTGGTATCCTTTCTTTTTTTCCTGTTTAAACTTACGGTTCAAACTGCATTAAAGTTCGACGACAATAAATCATAAAATTATTCAATGAATTCAAAAGTGATTTTACTTGCTTTTCTAACCTTATCGGTTTCCTTGTTTCTTTTGTGAAAACTGCTTGTTGTTTTACTTGAAAATTTTCAAATTTCCTTCGCTTTATCAAACTGACCTGGAAAACTCATGAAATTGACAACTTAATATTTTTTTTAATAAACTGACTGCATTACAGCGCAAGACAAAAAACACAAATCTTTAAGCAAGCGTCTTTGGTTTTCTTATAAACTCAAGCATACCTTGAGAGGTTTTGACAGCTCCGGTATATTGATTTTACAATCATGGTCAGTCAATGAATTTATAACTGAAGATGCATCATCAATAGACATCATAGATACAAAACTGAAATTTAGAGGATGATACGATAATGAATTATACAATAATTATGATGACCTGAAATAGTACTAGAATAACAATCTTAGTTAAATCCTAAACATATATAAGTTAAATTGAAAAACATACACCAGCAGTGGAGGAGAATTTTGATCTTCTTTCATGAATCTGATGCTATCAACCCTTCCAAATTGACGAAATATGTGAAAGAGCTTCCACTTAAAAAAGCAATTTCATATTAATTACATGTAAAATCGCAGAGAAATAAACAGCCCGCAAGTAAAACAATATTTAACATACTTTATTCCATGCTAGAGGAACATTCTGAACATTAAACGTTCGGTCTTCCATTTCACCCACAAATACTGAGGACAAATCCAATTCTTTTGGTGTTGATGGGATAGGTGAGTGATTTTTATGCCTCGCATCCTGTCGTGAGTTGGAAGATGCCATAAATGGTTGAACTATTCTGAAACAAAGAACCGAAGCCCTAAGACTTTACAACTAATTATGAAGAACGACCAAGTGAAGCAGATTTTTAGGATATTTATCTAATATATCTCATTACACCACACATACAACTAGTATATCTTATTATATTATCACATACGAGAAATAGAAAAATTCTGCATCGAAAAATTATATATAAATAACAAAAAAGAAAAAACTCGAAATACGGTGGTCATTAAGTTATAATGTTTAACATGTAAGCTTTGCAAGTTAAAATAGTTGCATTTATTTCAAAATTCACTTCCAATCATTTAAAAAAAGACTAAAAAATCCTTCAAAAGTCAAAGATACATCCGTCACTAGGAATTAGCATACAAAGATATGTTTTTTACCTCCACTGTTTCTATAAAAAATTTACCATATGAACGAATAAAAAGCTGGAAATTAGAACAAGCAGTTTCATGGGTAATATCACTCCAGAAATTACATACAAACTACATTCCAACAGTTCCTCATTTTTCCAGACAGATCTGCATATCTATACTACCAATTACTTGGTAAACCATAAATTACAGTCTAATACAAGCTCTTAGTTGATAAAGGCTACTAACGTAAGTTTCGAAAATCAACTTACTCATTAGTCTTCATTATGAAAATTTTAACTTACGGAGCTCTTGTCCCAATTTTATCTATTAAATTTTTCTTGTCTGCCTGCCATCACTGGAAAAAGATGATTTAACTACTCAAACATTTTAATCTTTCTACAGCAACGTCGGACACTACTTTTCTCAGCAATCTTTATGATTTGATATTTCAATAATTACAAACTGGAGATCTTTCTGGACAAAATAAATGCATCCTATGAAAATGACCAATAAATAACTTTGGATAAAAATAAGAAACTAACAATTTTTTCCTAAATGGGAGCTTTATATGTTGAAACAGAATTTACTTATTTACAGTCATGTCGATTTTTAGACATTATAAAATTACCCAATATTTAAACTCACCTGTAGCTTACAACATTATTTTATTAGACAACTAAAATGTATGATGAGTAGATCAAATTTTAAGAGGCTACAAAACTGTATTGGAAATAACGATTTGTAAAAATGCATAAAATTATAAAAATATCAATTTACGGGAATGCACATAATTGTAAAACAACACTAATTTATAACTTATAAGAACAAATAAAACTATCTATTCTATATTCAATGGTTTTTCTTTTTCCTCAATACTATTATAGCCTAAATTTTTAGCCAAACTTTTGCTGAGACAGCGTTTTGTCTGCAACCGAGCATAACCATCTTTGCATTTTTTATATTGAAATCGCGTAAATCCACGTGGTATACTACATTTATGTTTTTGAACCAAATGTCGGCTTAAACCAAAACCACTTGCATATTTCGCATCACACAGGTGGCATAAATGAGTGTAGGGCACATAGGACTGAAAATTCAAAATTAAAATTCGATTTCCTACAAAGGCATAAAGTTGCATATCATTCATGCGCAATTACACTTTTACGTCCTCGCAAATGATTTTTATAATCAGTTAGCATACATAAAGTTCTTGAAGGAGGCACCTATGTCACCTATGTCAAAATTTATGCTGAAGACTGCTTTAAAGAAGAGACTTATAAAAGAAAAATTTTTTAAAGAACCAGCTCAGCCCTGATTTACTTTGTCTTAAATTAAAATTTAGTTTCCGTTTCATTTTTTCATGTTCACAAAAAATATGATTTTATGGAAAATGATAAAAGTTTGGAACTACTTTCATAATATTAGTGAAAGCAAAATAAGTGAAAATAACCGCGTCGTGTTTTCGAATATGAGCGGTCAACTGCTTTTTCCAACGAAATCGTTCTCCACAATATTCACACTGGTGAGCAAGTTCGTTGAAGTGAACAAGCATATGACGATCAACATCAGCTTTTTGAGAAAAACTAAAAAATGCTTGCATGCATTTCACAATACTTCAAATAATTAATGGTATTACTTGATGTTTTGATAAAAATGAAACTCTTACAAACCGCAGATATTTGAAATTTTAATACCTAAAACAAATCTGTATGATAATGTCACATAAAGTAATAGCGTGATATTAGGACCTTTATATTTACCAAAAAGGACGAGACTAAAATGTAACAAAATTCAATTGTGGGTTTTATTATCAGTATTACAAAAGAAGAAAAACATTGTAATACCTATGGTTGCAATAATAACAGACATGAAGTCGCGATTTAGCATGGACAGCCATAACATGTCTTTTCAGTGCAGAAGGACTGTCAACCGTTATAGAGCAATATTTACATTTATGATTCATAACATGCCGGCGGCAATGTTCGCGTAGTAAACGCTGCGTACTGAACTGTTTCTGACATAGGTGACATGAATAAATGATTTTTTGTTCGCCACTTTCTGCTCCTACAATATGATAAATATAACAAATTTTTTGATTACAAATAGTAAGTTTTTCTCTAATTAAGAAACACAAAACATTAAGAATTAAAACTCATGTTATAAAAGCAATACCTAGTGAAATACAACATTTCAAGATTTAAAGCGAAAGAGTATGCCTTCAAATTTAATGGGACTATGCTTAGTTTGATACTTATCATGAAAAAGTGATCAACAAAAACCAACTAACTCTATCAAATGTAACCTCTAGGTTTAAAACAGAAATTATATCCTGCTTACTTCTCCAACTACCATTACCAAAAAAATTTAATACCGATCTGATTTTTACGCAACATGTGATCAATTAGTTTAGAGTTGTTAGCAAAGAAAACGCCACAATATGGACAGGCAGCCACTTTTGCACCAGAATGATGCCGACAGTGTATTCGAAGAAGTGTTTTATTCTTGAATTGCATTTTACAACCTTAAAAAACGTAGTACTAACTAAATTGAACTTATTTAGTTACATAACAAACACATAAACCTCCAAGGTCTTCTTTCCACTGTGTGACTTCAAATACGATAAAATACTAGCAATGTCTTTTATTAGGAGTACAGTGTTGTTTTTCGATTCAATGAAAATTTACCGATATTCAAAACTCAATACCTTGCCAACAGCAATTCAGTTGAGATGGGTTATCGTTTCCAAGTGAATCAATGTGATCGTTTATATGACTACAGTACAAATCGATATCATCCCAAAGAGTCTGATAAAAACTTAATTCGAAATTGTAAGGATAAGTAATGAAATATTTAAAAATTCTCAGAGGAAAACAATAAGATATTGTACTTACTGTGCACCCAATCCAACCACATGTCATCACTGAACCATCGTAAATAAGTTCCACAGATGTATGGAACTTACAACTGAAATCAACAAACTTTACCTTAATTTCGGATTAATTGAATTTATTTATTTATTTTTGGTACAGTTGAGTACTTGGTTGCACTGCATAAAAACACAGTGTCAATATATACCAATATAAGTATCATTATTTCATATTTTTATGGTAAACAGCCCAACATTGTTCGTTATGTGTTCTTAGGTATTTCAAGTTCTTTAACTTGGAAGCAAATATTAATAAAACTGACAAAAGTAATGAAATAAGCAGAAAAAAGTATGAATAAAGGATAAAGCTTCAGTATTCATATATGAGTCATTTATCAAATATATGTTAGTGTCATTTTGTGTTATTAAATCTAATTTCTTGACAAAATAAGTTGATTAAATTTGTCTCACTGTATAATATCCGCTACATCATCCCGACTAATAATAACTTTTAAACCATTCCATTGTCGTTGAATATGGTAATTATGCATGTAAAGATGGCGTTTTAAATGATTTGCAGTGACCAATTTTTTACTGCAGCCATTAATTGGACATGAAAGACAAGTATTTCCACCTAGAGAATTTTCAACTGAAAATAAAGTTAATTAAATTTTCTAGTCAGTAAAAACAAAAGCTTTCATCCTATTTATTATTTATTTTGGAAGTATCAAGTTTCATCAAATTTTTTTCTGAACCTGTCAGTTGCTGGATATGAAACTGTAAGTGTCGGAACAAATCGTCTAGCACATCACAGACCATAAAACAATGTCTCCATAAGCAGTTGAAATTAATCTGGAAAAAAAACGAAGGAAAAAAAAGAGATTTTGATTTTCAAAGAATTTATTTAAATTACTGTTGAAATTATTCAATTACAATATATAAGTAGTAGTATATATATATATATATATATATATATATATATATAT